TACAAAGTCATAAACGTCTTAGTGTCGACATGACTAAAAGCCCTACGTATTGACCATAACGTTCTAAAACTTTTGGCGGCTATTGCACGGCAGTGTGCAGTAGTCTTTAAGTCTTGACTAACGATAACTCCTAAGTCATTATATGTCTGGACGACAGGTAGCTCAGTGTTATTCATCGTGTATGTATCTGTGCCTTGATGACCGATATGCATCACAACACACTTGGAAGTATTTATCGGCAACTGCCATGTTTGAGACCATTCAGATAACTTCTTCAAGTCATTTTGAAGTTCTAAGCTATCACTCTTACATCGTATCGTTCTCCATATCTTGACATCGTCAGCATATAGCAAGACCGATGATGATAGGAGACAAGGAAGGTCATTTACATACAAGAGGAATAGCACTGGCCCCAAAACTGTACCCTGGGGCACTCCACTAAGCACAGTTTCCCAGCTAGATAACTTTGAGTTCACCCTTACTCTTTGTTGACGCCCAACTAAGAAGTCTTTTATCCACATCAATAAATTACCTCCAATCCCGACATGTCTTAACTTATATAACAGCCGGTTGTGCGGAACTTTATCAAAAGCTTTACTGAAATCAATGAAGGCGACGTCTACAGGTAGCTTTTGGTCCTTAAGAGCACACCAGCTTTCACGAGCCACTAATAAGTTAGTGAGACAAGAATAACCTATTCTGAAGCCATGCTGCTTCTCCGAGAGGATCCGGTTTTTATCGAGATACTTAAACAGCTCCTTCCGAATAATCTTTTCTAATATTTTAACAACCACACTAGTTAGGCTAACGGGGCGGTAGTTCTCAGGTTTGTGTTTCGTGCCTGTTTTGAAGACAGGACTTACTATGGCGTTTTTCCAATCTTTCGGTAAGCGACCCTGCGTAACGGATAGGTTAAAGCATGTACTTAAAGGGTTCGCAACGAAGTTAGATAATTCCTTCAGTAGCCTAGGATGTAATTCATCGGGCCCCGTGGATTTACCTATGTCAAGCTTATTTAGCAGACCAAAGACATCGAGTTCTTTAATGGTCACGCTATCCAGTGTATGTATGGGGGGATCTGTATACGCTGACGAGAAGGGCGCTTCTATGGTATACACGTTGTTAAAGTAGTTCGAGAACGCTTGAGCCTTACCAAAGTCGTCCTCCACTAATGATGAAGCAGTACTGTCTCCCCATAGAGCAGGAATATTTCCTTTTCTCCTTGTCCTTTGGTTTATATAGGAATACAAGCGTTTAGGACATTCTATGGATTCCTTAACAAGTTTTTCTTCGTACAATTTTCTAGACTTACGGAGGGTCGAGGCACAAGTGTTCCGAGCCTTTCGATACTGAGATTTTGACTCATCAGTCCCCAGTAACCTAAATCTATCCCACGTTTTCCTTTTCTTACGGAGAAGGATACGGACCTCCCTACTGAACCATGGTGGTGAGTTTTTCGGCCCCTTTGGTATAGTCCAAGGGATGTGAGGTGTGGTAACTTTTAAGTATGATTTTCGAAATGCGTCCCAGGCCGTTTCAATTGAGGACTCTGGATCTATTGTCCAATCTACTGACGATGCTGAGTGCATGATATCTTGGATGTTTGCTTTCCAGACGTTAGTTCTGGACTGAGCTAACGCGTGCTTGTGATTGACAGTTATATGGAAGTCAAAAGTTAAAACTGCGTGATCACTTTTACCTAGAGGCGGCATGTAATGGAGGTTCGCAACATCATCCTCATAGTGAGTCAGTATAAGATCTAATAAGGATGATTCAGTGTCCGGGTCGTACCTAGTCGCTTCTTTCACATGTTGCACTAGGGCACATGTGATAACCGCATCAACTAGTTCCTGCTCGAAGGAATTTTCTGACGATTCAGTTCGCAGATTTTCCCAGTCTACCATTGGCGCATTAAAGTCCCCTAGGATTAGACATCGACCACTTTGGGACCAAGTATTGAGACTGCTAAACAGGATCTCATTTGCCTCACAGCTTGGACTGCGATAGACCAAACCAATCAGTAGCTCTTGTCCCTTGCATTTTAAGCGAAGACTAACTAATTCACACGTCCCACTCTCATGGGATACACTATCGATAATGGTAAATGGGATAGCATTCCTAATGAATAGAGCTACTCCCCCTCCTTTGCGCTTTTGTGTCCTGTCGGCCCTTACTAACGTAAAGCCCTCGAAATCAAGTTCTATACTATCTATAGCCTGTGTCAGCCAGGTTTCTGTTACTGCGATTATATCTGGCTTTATAGAGTCAATCTGTACACCTAGTTCCGATCGCTTATTAAGTAAGCTTCGTGCATTGGTGTAACAGATCCGAAGCCTGTTTAGGTGCCTTCGTGCTTCACCCATAGTGGCTTCGGCATCATTCTCTGTCGAAGTCTTACAACCCGAAAATTTACAATTTTCAGGTCCTTTTCGCCAGCGTCTAACCTATGTTGTAGTTATTTCTCGGCTTCCCGTCTTTTAACACGGTCTGCCAACGGTAGGTCCTTTCGGATAAAGACTCCCGAGCCCTTTAATTTGTGTCCATTTTGTAAAATTAGGTCACGTTCGTTTGAAGAGCCGAATACTACTTTAAGCAGTCTGGAATGATTTGGTTTCGAGTCCGTTAGACTCCCTAGTCTATACACCTTTAGCAAGGTGACCCCAGTCATATTCTGAGGCATGAGTTGATTAAGCAACTGCCTAATCAGTACAATATCATGCTCAAAACGAGCTTTAGGTTCAGAGCTATCGCTCTCCTTAATTCTATGAAAAATAGCTGATCTGTCTTCAAGTATCAAACTTTTTCTAAGAGAGATAGAAAGAAATCCTTCAGTTTAACGTCCGTGTTGTGAAAAATCCTTATTGATTATGGATAAGTGCTTTTCTTGTTTGAATTTCTCAGAAGCTGAAGGCATAAATATAAGGTAATAATTGAACTAATTGTATGGGAAACCTAGAGAGAACTGGTATAACCAACTCTTCTGAACCACTGTTTCCATCAGCTTCGTAATATTAAAGGCGTCTACATTGATCTCATTACTTTCGAAAACTGACGAAACAATGAATTCACCAAACATTACAACGATGAAAACGATATGGATATTAACCTGTGTGTTATCATAGGTGCCCCTTCTATTTCACTGCGAAACTTTTGACGGTGATCCTAGAAGAAACCTCTTGTATTGTAAAGCAACTCACTTCATCTTGCTCTCTTTTACCACTAGCTCTGAAACGAATATAACTGAACCAAAGTCGTGGTTAACTGCCTCAAGCGGTTCAGAATGGTTCGAATTGTTGTGAAGGGGATCAAGAAGGCATTTACCTTAAGAAATGCGATTTTTAGTGAAGAGAGAAAGTAATTAACACACACACTTGCATACAAAACAGTCAAGGTTGAAAAGCGAATGATTGGTAAGGTCAAATTGCGGCTTGAGGATAAGAAATAAATTGGCTACAACAACCAATGTGGGGTTGACATAGTACCAGCAACTACAGAGCCTCCTTTAAAAAATAGTACATTTGCTTCAAACAGACATCTAATTTCGAAAGCAACACAGAAGAGTTATGTGGTTAACAATAACAATAAGTAGCGGAAAAATTGTAATATATCAAATAGAGTGTATTGTCACGTGAGCAGTCAGTATATTATACAAAAGTGTCATACTTATGTTAAGAAGTAGATTAATATCGTAAAGAAGAGGGAAAAAAGGAATTGTTGGCATGAGATTATGAGCAAATTAATAAGAGTACAGAAAAATAATATGCATTGGCGTCGTGACTCTCTGGACGATACAATGACATATTCGTATGAGCGATTTGAAATTCCGTGAAAACTGTTTAACAAGTCATTTGTCGTATATGAGTCTGCCATAAGAATAAATCACAAGGATATGTAGTGTAGAATACAGCAGAAATTGATCTAAGGTGCCGACAGAACATAAAATTAAAGAGAAGCGAAATATTAACATGTTCTAATAAGCCGCAATAGGGTAAATAGCATCGTTTAGTGATTAACGGATTTGAATTGACGTATGTGAAGTTTCTGTCTGTCATTCAAAAATATAATAACTTCCAACATCATAAGTATTAATGAAGTTGTTTGATTTGATCTATGTATGGTGTTCGTGAATCAGATGGGTTCTAAATAACTCACGTCTTCAGGTTCATCTTCCGTGACCTTTTGTATGTTAGTCGATATTTCTGAGAAGCAAAGGTAAATATGTCACGATGTGACTGCCTACACATAAAAGTCACATGATTGCCTACACTGGCTCGAGATATCTTAACAATTAACAATATGATCATTTGTGTTTATGAAGAACACATTTAAGCCGAAGACAGGATGACATTTTTAATATGAATAAAGACAAGTTATGCAGAATGACCATGTCTGAGAATTTGAGCAGTACTATCAGAGTGAATGCATGAATATTCCCGTGTTCACCATTGTTGGCTTTCATTCTGTGTTAAATGTTAAGTATCTACTTTATCAGTTACCTCATGCTCACATCTGAAGATTAGGACCAATACCACTACGAATTTTTTATTTGTGATCGATTTTTTGAAGTGAATGAATAATGCAAAGAATAGTTTTCATAAGAGATTTGTGGAACGGCTTATCAAACGTGAACTGGTGAGGATGGCTGACCAAGTACCTTCAAATACGAGTGTATCTAGTAAAATCACGAATTCAGAGTTACTGGTAAGAACTTAGCAGACTGATCATCATGCGGATTCACTTGCTACTGCAGGTGCGTTACAGTGGCTTGTTAGTAGAAAATAAGTGTAGATAGATAAATTCCATTAATATGAAGTGATGAGCTTATTTGCAGTACCAATCCAATGAACAGAAAAGAGAGGCGTTAAAAGATTGTGCAAATTCTGCTTCTTTCGGCTGGTAAAAATTAGTTATCCATGTCCGACCAAATTGTTTATACCAATCAATAGAAACAGTTTGTATAAGCGGTAGGTTTGCAAGTTGTTATATGATATCGCTAGTTTATGGATATTGGACATTTAGTGTCTTTGGTTATTTTATTGTCACTTAGTAAGCAAATTTTTATCTTTGAACCGAAATTTAGTTTTCGAAAATGCTTCGCAAGTAGACGGATATGCAACACTATTCGTAAAGTTTGTTAACATTACAGTGAGTTCGTCAAGTGGACATTGCAACTCTTTCTCAAGACCAGATTACTGTGATTTGTACTTTAAAATTTGCATAGGTGATCAAAATTTGAGGTAGTTTCCATTTTTTAGATTACTCAGAATCAAACAGGGGGTGCAACATTTTAGATATGAGAACACCGAAATCTTCTTTAATGAACCAGAATTCTATATCTTTTGGTGACTTAATAGACTATATACCAAACCCACTGTCCAGAATAATAGACAAACTTCCGGTAACATTCATATATTTTGGTTAAACAACTTACAGTCTAGATTGTACTTGAAGATCGAAGTTTGGGATGCAGATTATTCTTTTTCCGATTTAGATGACCACTTGACAACATTTGAGGATAATGCATACATGTACACTGTGTATCCATTTGAAACTAGTGGTTCATCACTCCTTTCTTCATACCGTTATCATAAAATATCTCGAAATATAACGCAAGATTACATAAATATGTATGTAGCAGTTTGGGCTGTTTGTAATCGTGGCAGCTATGGAAGTGACTGTAGCGTCAACTGCGTCCCACAAAAAAGAGTACGGCACTATGGTTGTGATATTTCAACAGGTGCGAAGGTGTGTATTCCTGGTAAGTTCATCCATATGAAGAAATTCCATAAATACGATAATGGGGTTATTAATTTAAATGCTCTCCTCAGAAAGGATCAGTGTGAAACATTTTAATAAATACATTCAGATTGCTTCCATTCATTACTAGTTAGGCTAAACTATCAGTAAAGTTTTAACCCCAAAAGGTTACAGCATGTTCTGTTCTTGATTCTGATTTATCAATAAATCATGTATCTTGAGCAGGCTTACCTAAAAGGATATTTGCCCATGACGACGTATTGCCTTTGAGAAAACATCGCTCACCCCCTGAAAGTTATCCTGAATCGAAAATCTTTTGATGTCTGTATGAGTTTCACCTCAAAACTGTGTCTGTAAGAACTTTTGAGGGTCAACAATGTTATGTCAGGTTTTAAATGTTCTCGGATCATCATTCTACTGACTCTTTAAGGTATCGCAAAAGTATTATTAGCTTAGTTAGATATTAGTATCAGTGCAAGTTTAGTTTTAGGAGCTCTAAGTATATTAATGAACATTTATGATTTTATTAAGGCTTTTGGAATCGTGTTTAATCGTGTTAAACCCCCAAGAGGTTCTTAAACCTTTAATATCTCTGGAGTGACCTCAGCTTAGATAACCGAACAACTAGATGTTAATAGGGTTTAATAAGCAACACACATTCAAGTCTTTACGTAGATTATCTCTGAATATCCAACGTAATCTCCGTTTATTTATCTTATTTGATAAAACTCCACCCTTAAGATTAAAAATATCTCATCCCCTCATGATTTTATTCCCGGATGAAACCAACTTTAGAAGTTGCTCCAAAACATTGGTATTATTTTTAATTTTAACCCACTACTTTATCCAACGCATGTACTGTTGGTGATGGTTCCTCCGTTTGTCTGCGGTTTTTGTTAACAGATGCCACCTAGAAAAGAAAATTTCCATCCTACAACAAAGCAACTAGCTAGGCCTTATAGTTACTTGTTTGGTTTGAATATTGTACGGACACAGATGCACTATATGTGTTTACTATCTTATTCTCAAAAATAAATAAACCAATCTCTAAATGGATTTTGTTGAAATGTGGTCTTTATAAGCTACATTCATAAGTCCCGTACTTTCATTTCTAGATATTTTCACGAACTGTCGGCGTATAAATCACAAATACTTATGTTAACGACAAGTTATATTTTATCAAGCATGAAGCATATTTGAGATTTAAAGTTTGACCCATAGTCAGCAAGTTAATGACAACCCGTCGGAACAAGTGTAGTGAAAATTATATATGCCTTGTTTGATTCTCATGGTTTTGCTAACATAACTATGAAGTAGAGTTGAGGTTTAGAAAAATCATTAATTGGCAAGATTTAGTCAGCGGTATTTATTTTCACTTTTCTTCTAATCTGAAAAACTAGGGTGGTTTGGTGATGAATGTAACAGAGTTGATCACTGTGGTATATTAACACCATGTGGCCCCATGGGAACGTGTACTAATACTCATGTTGGATACACTTGCTCCTGTAAACATAATTTCACAGGTATGTTATCAAATTCTAATAAAAGCACTCCTAAAATTTATGACCATAAATAGTGAGATGTTTTAAGAGACCAAAGTCTTCGACTGCTCCAAAATACTAATTTGCGTGGTTAAATGACTATACTTGGCTATTTATAATGCTTTTTGTGATTAGTTCTGCAAATTTTCTCGCCACTTTTCCCATCATTAAGTCTCAATGTCTTAAAACTTGAAATGTAACAGATTATAGCGCACAGTTTTTCTTGGATAGTGATTAGTTTTACCAAAAGCAGTGCGGCGTCTTAGGAGTAAACAGTCTTTATACTTCTAGACATAATTTACCCTTAAAATATTCCACCCAATCAGGTTACGAACAGAACAAATTTGAATACATTATTTATTTGTTTACAAGGACCAAGTTTATTATCCATTTAAATTGTAGGCGTTAAGTCAACCTGATCAATCAATTAGCCATTAATTCTTTGAGGTCTATGGGATATATCAGCTTCACACATAATTTAAAACAGATGTTGCCACTTTTTGGCTAAGTCTCGTTTGATTTATCACAATGAGATTTGATTACAGAGCCAGATGGTGACAAGATTATTGCTGGTTGAAAAAAAGCAAATTATTTTCCATTCCACAATCTTCTTAAACCTAGAAAGTGTAACAGCATATTTCAAGAATTCGCCACAACTATGTCAGGGTAAAATAAATTTGAATGTTTGCTTATAGGCTTTTGAAGTTTAATAAAAAAAGATTACTATCGATAAGTTGTTCGTCTGATATTGATGAATATCTAAGTCACATACTGATTTGCGTGAAATAAATTTTCATTTAGTGGGACCATAGACGTTTTAATTCCTGGTCAGTTACTGCCGTTTGCCACGTCCACATCCAATGGGATAAGTCTTCTTATAATCACGTCAAGTTACAATAGTCATACGTGTTTCCATCCATATTTGGTTATCACCTGGTGAATAACCATACGTTTTCTAGTTGTTACCTATAAGGAACGAGACATCAACAACTACAACAGTTATGTAATATGGCCAAGTGGTACATTTACACCAGTACATTGTTTTATATTTTTGTTTTCTCATTTATTCGCCTTTCTATTTTACTGCTGTTAACTTCAATTTCGTGAAACATTTTATTGTCACGTTGTTTTATCATCTACAAGCGTGTTATGTTTGAGGTCAATCTTTATACTACACAAATTGCTTCGTTCATAAGAAACGTCGTTTAACATATAGTTTGTTTCTTATTGTAACGGATAGATAGTGAACGACTACGACAATAAGTTTCCGGAAATAGTTAAGTTAGAAAAGTTTTCATTTCTTCTTTTCAGGACCACATTGTTCAGAACCCCCGAATCAATGCAGTCCATTACAAGATTTTTGTCAAAATGGATTTTGCTTACTAAAGTATCTTGATGAAGGAAACAGGAGTTTATCCAATCCAATTCCATACTGTGCTTGTATACCTGGGTTTACAGGCAAATGGTAATCCAGACTGATTAAATTTAAATGTATAAAAATATGCTTATAATGTGTATAGAATACAATGTTAATAATATATTAAATTCAAACACTAATTTCAACAGATTGCATATAAGTTATGGAATTAGAATTTCGATAAGCTTTCTTCGAAAGACAGACTCGTGTAATTCTTTCTACTTCTTTAGACGCTGACTGATAAAATGATAAAAATCAAAAGGTCACTAACAATCGTTAATTTTACATAAGCACACTATCCAAGATGCTTTTGGGAACAAAATAAGTGATTTCACATATGACGATTTATGTTTTAAGGTTGTCTGCCATATTAACATTCGTGATTTAATTCTAATTCTTTTTTCATAAGTCTAGCCGAGGGTAGAGAGAGTCAGCTCTCCCTCTCAAAATGAGTATACAGCCACTCCCACGGAAGTCCTACTCACTGCCCTCTCGCACCAGTGGTTTTGTTTACGAAATTGAGAGGATGGAAAGCAAATATCTGGCGCTTTAATCGAATTGATGGATATGGAGGATCCACCTAGGGAATTTTGAAAACCCTGATTCCAAACCGACGGTGCACATGGGCTCCAGTATCCTGAGGGAACAGATGGCGTATAAATCAATCGTTGGTAGCCAGCTACCATAGGACTGAATCTCCTGACGTCGCTCCTCTGCCTTGTGGATCAGACCTTTAGGTCGAAGGTTCAGTGTAAGGCCTTTTAAGAAAACCACCTGCTTCGGTATGGGCACTCGGACAATACTACAGCCCACATACAAATCAAGTGACTTGTATGGCACATGTGTATTCTGTGCCCCTTTGTACCAACATTTATGTATTCAAATCAATAAATGATTGCATGAGTCTAAACAGTAAGAACTAATTTAACCACGGTTGAAATTATGACGTGAAACGTGGAGCTGTCATTGAGGATAATATTTTTTGGATATAGCTTGAGAGTAAAGATAATTTCAAACTACAAATACAAGTATTTTTAGTCGTATTTATTTAAAAAACTTGAAACGTCAACAGAATCTGATAGACTCAGTCTCAGGAATAAATCGCAATAATGCGATATCCAAAAACACTATCAAATTTAACCAACTTAAGTACTGGTTTGCAAATTTAAAAAGACCCCATATCCACCTTGCTAGTATGCACTGATTGGTACAATATCTAGTCCCAGGGCTTCCTGTTAGTGTTCTTAATCAAATGACATCATGTGAAAAGTATCACACTTTTTCAACTCCTTCAGTTCGGAGCCAAGAGTGCAACTCAATCCATGGAACTAGATCAGCACTATAGACTAGATAAATACAACCTTGGTAATTACTCAGTGATCAGTAGGTGTAAATATTTTAATCCTAGACAAGACCAGTTGTGTTCTAAAAAAGCTCAATGGCAGCGGTTTTGGCAACAGCAGCGAATTAAGAAAGTGTGAGTCTCGTGAATGACATCAAGTTCATCAAACTTGTCGACAAAGCCTGGTGAAGAGTGATGACTATCTTACTTCTAGACTCAAGGTTCCCTAACGATCGCTTTCAACTACAAACATCAATTTAGAAAACCTTCAGTAATATTATCGTCTTTACTACTTAAGCTCGCCTAATATACTCATGATAGGTTGTTACAATATCATGTGCTTATCGGTGACTAATTTGTAGAAGCAATTTATGGAGTTCTAGTGACAGACCGTAATCTAAGGTGTCCAAGCATTTTGAGTGTGAAACATTTACCCACTAATCTCGCAGGAGATGGCTGCAGAGTGTCACCGATCGGTTGATGGTAGCGATGTAGACCATGAGATACTGGATCGGTGGTCTAAAGGTTAAACGTTTACGACGAATCCTGAATGTCCTGGGTTGGACCTCTGATTGGGTCGTGGGTCCACACTACTGAGGACTCACGTGCTAGGACGGGAAAGTTGCCCAGTGCTTTCTGGTTTAGTTGGTTGCTCACATCAGATCACCCTATGATTTAAACTATGGCGTTCAACAATTTTCAAAATCTCCTACAATCGCATTTATTTGTTATCTTTCCTTCTTTCTGTTTCTTGATAATCCGTATTATATTAATGTTATTTTTATACTGTTAACAGGTGTGAACTGGATATAGATGAGTGTTCAATGAAACCGAATAATAATGGTAGTAACAAAAGTATTAATATCAACCACCATATAACATCATCTTGTAATGTAAATTCAATGTGCGAAAATCTCTATGGAAATTTTCGTTGTTTTTGTCAAAATCAGTGGACTGGTCTACGTTGTAACACACCTCCAACTTTATGGCCTGATCATTATAAACCCATGGTTAATTCAAATGGTTTACCTGACTTTATAAATTTTAAAAGAGTAAATTTATCAACCGTCTCATTAGAAAACAACAATGATGACGTAATAGTAAGAAAAGTAATATTTATTTTTAAAACATTTAATTTTATTGTCAGTACGTGATTGCAGAGATTGTTGAATTACATTGAGACCACGATTTAAGTTAGAAAACTATCGGAAACTGCAGGCAGTAGATGGTCGTTAAGGTTCATTACGGGACTCTTCAGCAGTAATCATCCACGACCCCGGTGCCGGGAATCGGTCCCGAAACTTTTGTTGGTGGGGTCGCGGATTCGTAATGCTGAGGAGTTCTGAACTGAGTCGAAACGGCTATCCAGTGCTTCCAGTTTTCAATAGTATTTCAACTTTCATCGGTTTATGATTTAAATGAAATTGAATTTTATCTTAAACTCCAATATGAATCTTGCAAGAGTAATACCAATTGTTTAATTGTTTGTAGTTAGTTTACTTCAAGTACTGATATCAGCTTAAGAACTATTGAAAATCTGTTGTATAATCCTCACTTAGGAGTTCTCGATAGTGGAAACTTACAACCACACTACAGAATGGAAAGTTTGAAAACTTTAAGCTAGAGAGTCAAAAATGAATATTTCACGATTCGTGATATAGTATGATCATTATATAACATCATCAAATGATAGCTATGAAATGGTGGAGAAGATTTGTATCTCAGATGGATGATTTCGATGGAGTTTTGTTCTCTGAGCTGGATGTTTTGGTCCAGCTCAGCAAACAAAATGCCAGCTGTCTCACAATTGATAAAGTGAAACTCTATCAGTCATAGTTCGGGAATAAAGTTCCTGTAGATTATTCTGAAAACTTATGGCTAGTGAGTAAAAGATTATCATGAAGTTAATTGGTTAATGAAGATCGTACATTTTGAAGTTATCACAGAGTAATGTTTACTGTTTATATTGTGTTGAGATAATCATGAAGACTTATTAGATAAAAAAGAAGTACTAAAAATTTAACATATACCACTTCCTTAAAAAAGCTGATGGGTTCATAATCTTTTTAAGTACTTACCATTGGTAAAATATTGTACTTTCATCTGAACGTTATATCGGTTTCTTATTTTAACTTTTTATAATTTGCATTTTGTGTTTTATTTATGTGTCAGTTTCTGCTACATTTAGCAATAAATTTGTATCTTAGAGTAAAAAAATGAAAAATGTGTGACAGATATGTTACTACCTGTGTAGTGACTTACTTTTATCACGAGAACACGATTGGTTTAATGAAAACAATTATTATTATAACCAATTGTACCAGTGACTGTTTTACTGTGCTCGTTTGTTTAACTGTGCTAAAGACAGCTATATTACTGCTCCATTATCTTTCGACTGTGACCTTACACGGGTTCGGTTACGCTCGGTAACCACGCTTGTACTTCTTTGGCACGACCTCGGTATCCTTTCGATACCAAGTGATTGCCAACAAATACATCTCGACTATAGACATCAACTGCCTTTTGATATTTGGCTTACGGAGGATCATATTGGTTAACTGGCACGTAGTCTTCTTGTAGTGGTGTTCATAGTCAACCGCGACTCGACTCCACGCCAGATCTGTAAACTAATACTATGTCTATACTCAAATGCACTGAAAGATGGATATAGATTTTGTTAGCAAAATGTTAGTAACTGAAACTATTATATATCATCTGTAGTTGATATATTATCGAATTTTTATCATATACGCTGTTTTCAAAAAGTTTGCATTCATTGTTCCCTAACATTCATATTGTTGGACTCATTGGAAAATATTGGGTTATTACTTGATTATTACTTACTCAAATAATGGCATATTATTCGGTATAGTTGAATAGAAAACAATGTACTTACAAGAAAACTGTTATACTAGTAGTCTGAGTCAACTAGCAAGCCTATCTAGTTTAAGAACTTTAGTAAATGAAAGTTATTTTCCAGAGATATAATTAAATTGAATACATATCTTTTCATTGAATCTATGTAGTATGTTTTTTTTTAAATCGAACCTACGATAATCTTACTGAAAAATTAGGAAATTGAAGACGGTTTTCTGATTATAAGACAGATTTATGTTAGATTATAAATAAATCACCTGTTATCTTCATCATTTATTTAGACTTTATAAAAGTCTATTGAAACCCTTTCAATTTATTTATCTAATTTATTACTTTAATTCCTGTTATCCAAACTGAAGAAAAGAAGTTAAAAGCATGGATTAGTGAATATCAGTTACGTTTATCATAAAATCTTTTAGCTAAAAAACTTATCAGTAATTAGTCTTATAAATTTCACAGGTTGAAATCATGAGTCAGTTGAAGCTAGACCACCATTGAAAACCTGGAAGCACTGGACGGCCGTTTCGTCCTGGTATGGGACTCCTCAGCAGTGCGCATCCACGACCCCGCACCACGCGGGGCTCGAACCCAGGACCCACTGGCTTCGGGCGCGAGCACTTAACCACTAGACCACTGAGCCGGTGGTCTAGCTTCAACTGACTCATGATTTCAACCTGTGAAATTTCTAAAACTCTCCACAAAACCCATTCTGATAATTAGTTTTATACTACTAATCTTGTGGAGATTTTAGAAATTTCAATAGTTGAAATCATGAGTCAGTTGAAGCTATGCCATCATGGGAAACATGGAAGCACTGAATGGCCGTTTCGTTCTAGTATGGGACTCTTCAGCAGTGCGCGTCCACGATCCTGCCCTCCCCTTAGAGATTTGAACTCAGGGCCTATCAGTCTCGCTCGCCAGCACTTAACCAATAGACTACTGAGCCGGCATCCAACGGTGTTAATGTCTAACTTCAACCAATCCATGGTTGTTTAGCTTCAATTGACTCATGGTTTCAACTATTTTAAATTTTTGCTTTGTCTCGCGAAAGTATAGTTTAAGGACGAACATGAAAAAACAGCGGCAAACGTCTCACCGGTTTATAGCCAACCAGTAAACAATCTTTGTAAAGACAATAATTTATGGAAAACAAAGGACAATAATATTTAGAATTGTAAATCAATTTTACATATCTACTGAATCTATTAATGTATTTCGCATGTTAGTCTGCTTTTAAGCTGTAAAATACCACATATCAATTCGTCCTTACAAATACGAATTTTCTGACCTCTCAAAGGAACTCGGCTTTCACTTGATGACGAAACTCTGGAAGAAGTGGAATCCTTCACGTACCTGGGAATCATCATCGATGAGCAAAGAGAACCAGATTTAGACGTAAAGGCAAAGATTAGCAAAGAAAGTGCCGCATTCCTACAATTGAAGAATATATGGAACTCAAAACAGCTTTCAACTTTCAGTACCAAAGTCACAATCTTCAATATGGACGTCAAGACAGTTCTACTATACGCAGCTCAAACGTGGAGAACTACTACAACCATCATCAAGAAGGTACAAATATTTATAAATAGTTGTCTACGCAAGTTACTCAACATCCATTGACCGGATACCATCAGCAACACCATTCAGCCTCCAGCTGAAGAGGGAATTAGGAAAAGACGGTGGAAATGGATAGGACATACATCACGCGAATCATCAAACCCCATCACGAGGCAAGCCCTAACTCGGAATCCTGAAGGGAACCGGAAAACGGGAAGGCCAAAGAGCACATTACGTCGGGAAATAGAAGTAAATATGAAAAGGATGAACAACAACTGGAAGGAGCTGGAAAGGATTGCGTGGGACAGTATTGGATGGAGTCTGCTGGTGGGCAGCCTATGCTCCTCTATGAGGAGTAACAGACGTAAACTTAACTAAAAATTAACCTCTCAGACCCTTTTGAAGACCCTAATAGATTTTTCTAATAGATTAAAGTTAGTTATTCGGAGTATAGTTTAAGAGTTTAGGTTTGGAGTTTTTATCAATAACTGACATCAGCTATAATGAAAAATTCTGTACAGACAAATGGATGGATAAATTCGTTTGCCTATAACATATATAGTACTATCAAGTTAAGATTTGTTTTATGATTGTGTTGAGGTTCAGAATTTAAGGATAGTGTTTATTTATCTTTTATGTGTTACCTAGAGACAGAACTTAAAATTTTATATTGTTCAATATCATCATTGTTATTCAGTTATGGTAAAAAGTAATTGTCCACAATCATTTTAAATATTTTAAGGTATATAGAAAGATATTTCTTCTAGTTGTTATAAATGATAGTTGAATTTTGTACAAAGTCTAAAACATACATCCTCATTTCTGATTGACCCATCTCGATAACTATTTCGCTCGCATATTTTTTTCTGAAATATCTTTATCATCTTAGGTAATAGAAAAAGCAAATAACAGTTGGATATATGTGCTTATCAGCGTATTTATTGTTCTGTGTCTTATTTCATGTGGAATATTATATTATATGTGTTGGAGACAAAAACGTTTATGTGGTTTCTATAGAATGGGTTGGAATCGTGAACCTATAATGTAAGTCGATGCTATTGTTCAATTGTTAATGAGGATTTCTAAAGTTTAAGTTTCATTTACGCTATACATACTTATTTGTTAAACGAAAACTAACATGGTTGCTTCATTTTGGTAAAATATTTTGTCACGTCATAAATGTTTGCTTGATTTTTTTTTAAAAATAGATAATGCATTGCTAGTGTTTTTTCCATATGTATTTATATACTAATCATTGATTTCCAGTCGTATTATCAACAATTCAAAATGAGTAGTACAGAAGAAATGGTTGATATTCGATAACTGAGAATTAAAGTTTACTGAAAAGCTTTGAATGCTTATCACAAAAATGAATCAGTGAATGAAAACACTTTCAGTGAAAAATTATCTTCTTAGCTTTATCATCCAATCCCTAGCCAACTGACAAATAATAAAGTTTAAATGACAAGAAAAAAGATAAAATAGTAAATTTTATGCATAATGAAAAGTTTCTAAACAGCTGCTCATACAATGTGAAATAGACGAGGTCTATAAGTCTACCAAGTGACTAAACAATAATCATTCTAACATAAAAGGAGCAGATTCAGTGTTATCTATGAAACCAACTTGATGATGTGAATCACTTCATATCTGGCAGTCTAACCGCCTGTATTCATGTGTGTTTACTTTATTGTTGTCTAGTTGTAGATTGTCACTCGACATGTCAGTTACTTCGACTTCGAAAGTTTAAGGACGATAAATAAGGGGACTTTCATAAAAATCAGTTTCAAGTCATTAAAAAATAAATAGAGATATGAAAACCAACTCAGCCCTAAAATCAGTTGGAGGGTATGAAAAATTGGTCAACAATAAAATGATAGATTTATCTAGTACGATAAAAGTAATGAGTCATCTATCAACCTAATCTTTTCTGAAGAGAGCCTTTTTACCTCAGATTGTCAGGATTTGAAGTCTAGTAAATCTCAGCAAAGTCAGGAGTTTTGCTGCACATTAAGATCTCCTTAATTATGGTTTCTAATACGAAGGTGAAGTTTTGACCACTAGTTGCTACAATATAAAAAAATTAAATTACTAAAATCAGAATACTTTTGACGACGAGTTCCTGTCAATACCTCTTAAGTGATTGCATCTTTGGGATATCACGAAATCAAAAAGGGTAAAGTCAAATTTCAACTTCTATATCAAACTATTGCTCTCTTATGTTGTAATTAACCACAGGAACAAAGTGATATATCTCAGGCTGCCGAAAATCAAGTGCACTAACCTGTGTTCTTTTCTTAGTTGCTCACTTAGCTATACTCCAAATAGATACTGAAGATGAAAAGGGAAAGATTTAAATATATTCTCTCCGAAATTGATTTAAACCATTTAACGACTATTGAAGCTACTGAGTTAGAGATCTCAGGCAAAGATTCTAAAATTAAAATCAAATGAATCGATATATTATTTTGAACGTCAGTAAACTATAGTAGTTGAGTAATGTTTAGCGTATGCCAAGTCACCATTCATCTTAGTTTCCTATGCCTATATAAATAGAGTTAAACTCAATTAAGTTCTCAGAAGATCTATAACAATTTTGAAATATTTGTTTCTTCACAAAAATAATAAATTTCTCAGCAACAATGTAAAACACAATCAATTAAATCTAGATGTTGTTGAAACATTTTTCGAGATCTCGCAAAATACTTTCTCTGTAAAAATCTATCTTTTCTAAGTCAAATCAGATGAAAATAATAAAATATTTTCAGAATGGGTTTTGTGGAGATTTTAGAAATTTCACAGATTGAAATCATGAGTCAGTTGAAGCTCGACCACCATTGAAAACCTGGAAGCACTGACTCATGATTTCAATCTGTGAAATTTCTAAAATCTCCACGAAACCCATTCTGATAATAATCAACTGCTCACTAGTGACTGACTTCAGGAAAAACTCCCGAAGTTCTAGTGAGAAGCCGTTACCAGTGGAGTTCAACCGGTCTGTTGTGAGATAACAACTCACTGAAGACAATGGTGTTTGGTGGCGCAACTTCGTGGATTGGTTGAAGTTAGACATTAACACCGTTGAATGCCGGCCGGCTCAGTGGTCTAATGGTTAAGTGCTCGCGCGCGAAGCCAGTGGGTCCTGGGTTCGAGCCCCGCGTGGTGCGAGATTGTGGATGCGCACTGCTGAGGAGTCCCATACTAGGACGAAACGGCCGTTCAGTGCTTCCAGGTTTTCAATGGTGGTCTAGCTTCAACTGACTCATGATTTCAATCTGTGAAATAAAATATTTGTGATGTACTTATCCATTTACTTTGACTTCTAATTTAATGCATAAAAAATTCGATCAATCAACTATCATTTATAGTTTTACATTGTTTATTTCCCTTCAATCAACAATATATCGAGTTGCTAATTTGAAGCAATTTCTACAGCAATTTGGAAGACTCTCCCGGTCTCCCACATTGCATGAGCATTCCATGTATCTAAGTAAATGGTTACTCTGATTATCAGAAGGAACATCCGCCTCGTGACTTCCATAAGAACTCAACTTTCAACATGAGACATCATAACTCTTCTAAATGAAAGCCTTCTGACTCCCAGGGCAGAATTTAAATGGTCTAAATAATTTTTTTCTGGTTAGCGTTTTTTTTAGTGAATTCATGTTCTACGGAATAGTGTGGCTAACCCTATGCCCAACCCTTCTCCTTTATCCGAGCTTAGAACCGACAATAGCCCTAGAGGGGCTCCAAGCTGAGTTTGCTAACTTGAGACTGAATATAAATGTCTTAAAGTGATCATCCAATTTCGTTTAGTTTATTTCATTCCTATCATACATACAACGTGTTTACCTTGTGTGTGTATGTGTGGGTGTGTAATTATCTCTATGGAATCAAAACTATATTTTAGTTAGAACTTAATTCAAATTCGATAAAGACACTTGACTACTAATGAGATATTGAATGAATTTAATGAATAATATTTTTCAAAAATAAAAAAAATAAAATAATTGTTTATTTATATTATATAAGAGTATTGATCAGAAGTGAATGTATATTATACATATACGAATATAAGTTTTCAGTATTACTTGTCTATAACTGCTATAATTTTAGAATACTGAACAATTCAACTGTAAACAGAAATGGTGAAGTGTACAATATTTTACAAATACGATCTATAATACATTTATAAACAGTCATAACAATAATATTGTTGTTGTTTTTTGTAAAGAAAAAACTAGGTGTATTATGAATGGTGTACACTATTTGAAATACACTAATCATAATCATTTGACAATGCATATTATTACATAATATAAATGATTTACATGTTTGTTATTGAATGTTACATAGTTATTACTTAAATTGCACTTACAATTACATAATTCTATATCATTTACTATTTTCTAATGAATAATCCATTTGAACGCCAGGACCTACTGGTTTCGCGCGCGAGCACTTAACCAACTAGACCACTGAGCCGGCATCCAACAATGTTGTTAATGTCTAACTTCCACCAATCCATAAAGTTGTGGATGCGCACTGCCAGGAAGGAGTCGTATACTAGGACGAAAAGGTCGTCCAGTGCTTCCAAGTTTTCCATGGTGGTCTAACTTTATTTGACTCATGATTTCAACTAGTGAAATTTCTAAAATCTCCACAAAACCCCTTCTGAGAATAATCCATTTGTTTGCTTGTTTTTTGGTGAGACTATAATTTCTGAACGAACCAATTAGGTATAAGATAACAAATCTCGAATTTTGACGCGAAATTCACTCATTCATTTGGATAAATAGAGTTTTGGTATTATAGTTTATGTTAATTCATGATGAAAATCCTAAATCTAATTTCTAACTTAAATCATCAAGTGTAAATCATAATTTTAATTCGTCACACAGGTTTATAACCTTTATTTGGTCCTGGTTATTAGGTGAACACTGTCAAGGTTAGTCTGGCGTCGCTCAAAGGTCATCCATAAATTATAGTCTCACCGTATTTTTTTAAAAAAAACGTTCCGTGTATGTCAATAATTTGAAATAATTAAATTCAATAACTTATATACAACTAAGTAGAAAGATTTTTGTTTTGTTTAAATTTTTAGAATGAAGATTGTAGTCATTCCAATAGTTGAATTCATGAGTTGATCTAAGCTAGAACATTATTAAGGAGTCCTATACTAGGATGAAATAACCATCCAGTGCGTTCAAGTGTTCTATGGTGATTTAGCTTAAATTGACTCCTGAATTCAACTATTGTTTAAGTTTATCAAGCAAAATAAAATCAATTAACCTTTATACATTCGCACCTCTAGCTAATATATCACCGATACATACAGTCCACTCTCTTGATAAATCTAAATAAAGCGCGAACAATAAATTTGCATAATAACATGAATTCACTATATTACAAGGTTTATTATCAGCTACAAACAGCCTAAATTTACGTTAATAGGATAATTATAGAAATTTTTATATACTGCAATCAATAAAGTCTAGTTCAAAGAGATATGAGAAACAAGAAAAAGAAACAACATATTCAAGATGACCATTAGGATTGATTAATAGATCCTGGGTTCGAATCCCGCGGGATCGTGGATGCACACTGCTGAGGAGTCCTATACTAGGACGAAACGGCCGTCCAGTGCTTCCACGTTTTCCATGGTGGTGTAGCTTCAATTGACTCATGATTTCAACCTGTGAAATTTCTAAAAATCTCCACAAAACCCATTCTGGTAATATTTATATGTTATAGGATGAGAAAGGGGGAAGTTATAAATGATAATAAAGAGAAATTGAATCATAAAAAAATTGTTATATATACAATATATATATAGTCTATTTATCATTTTTATGTAGTTCCAAAGTACTATTTACTACAAAATCAACCACTTCAAATTTAAGTAAAGAACCAACTATTCTATGTAATCAAACTCCACCAACACCACAAAGATCTATCACTAAACTAACATTTATACCCAGATACAATATCCCAATACAATCTGAAAAATATCAATCAACAATTTATGATGAAATACCTGATTGTTTTTTACAAGAAAAAACACAATTAACTACTAATATCCCAATAAGTAAATCTCAATTATCTATATATGAACCATATAGTCAATTAGAATATGATACATTAGATATGACAATAGAAACAAAATATACAAATCATCATGAAATAATCAATAATAATGATTATACTGATAATCAAATTCATAAAATTACTTATCAAAATTCAAAAAATTTAAAACAAGAACAAGAATTAATTATAACAAATTGTATGTATCTTGAACCAAAACAACATCCTTTTTAATATGAATGAATGAAATGGGTATTCACTGTTGTATAACTTTGTTCCCATTTTTTATCTGTCATAATATGAAATGTATGTTATGGTTGATAAGGGATATTTTGAACGAACTGATTTCATAATGATTATTTTATTTTACTTTTATATGTGAATATTTTTATCATCGTTTTTTTTTTGTTTTGTGTATCATTGATTTGTATCCCTTTTAAATGGATCATTCTTTAGATCGACTCATTCAGTTTATTTTATATATTAAAAATACAATTATTGTTATATTCGGTTGTCGTTATTGTTGTGCCGCAACAAAAAAAACGCTGATCATTTATACTCGGAACGAGGGAACTTGGCAATTCCCACGATGCGCAAGTAAGAACATAAAGACTGGTATAAGTGAAGATTTATTAGCTCCTCAAACACTATGACGACGACGAATCGAGTATAGTCTAAAATATACTGGTTTATATATTTATTGTACACCCATTTTGATTAATGATTAAGATTAAATCACATACTCAGTTATGACAAATCACTTACTGAGTATAGTTCATGTCAAGTAAATACAAGAATATCGTATATTATACAGAAGAAAATATCGTACTGGGAAAACAATCAAATACTACACTGAATAATACGTTGAATCAAAACGGACGTAGTGTTGAATTAAACTCCTAATGAGTAATTCAATCGAAAATTGACTTTTCTTTCCATCATATCAATTATAACCATTTTTTTTATTTTTATGTCATAATGAAATTTAAATTTGTTCACTTCAAATTAGAAGTTAGAACAATTACCCTGCTTATATAATATACTTTTTATTGCCAGGGTTTATCACCATTGAATTGTTCAGTATCTAACGCCATCTTGAAAAACAAAAACAACTGGCATTTACAGTCTTATTGTGAATGTCTGCATTATACTCAAGACAGTTGACGTACATTGTTATAGTGTGAAGAACATGTAGTTCCATCAGTTTCTATCAATACAATCCCTGTAGCTGAACTGGAAATAATCGAGAAGGCTTACATTAAACTTTTAACATTTGGAGAACGTCAGTAAAGTAATTGAGGGAACATGGTATAGCTAGATCATTCAAACATGGTCACTCCATATCATCTCTTGATCTTTATATTAAATATATTATTCCATCTTCGGCCGAAATGTGTCCTTCAAAAGTTCATAAATGGCATGCTACTGACTGTCACGAGAGGACGAGCCAATTCAAACAATGATATGACCTCGACATAAGTTCTCAAATTATATATATATATATATATATATATATATATATATATATATATATATATATATATATATATATATATAACGATATTCGACCAGACCTATTATTATCGTAGCACAAGTAATTGAATTAATACTGACTACCACTTAAACCCCATAACTTAACGCGTCGTAGTTTCGCCAGTGTTCTTATTTCTACTCTGATTTATTATATAGTCACTACTTGTAGCTACTATCCGGTAGTAAGAATTCACCAAGCATTCAGCAGCTTCATTTGGCTTCGCCACTAGGTGTGTCCCTTCTAGAATATAAGAGACTTGAGGGTGGCAAAAGTCTAAATCTATTACATGTATTTCTAGATCAGTTGTTGACGTGTTTTCTATTTATCTTTTGATTTATCCGTTCCTGGAGGATTTCCGTTACTATCTTGGTGACCTCCAGTACGAGACAACCCCCCTTCATTTGGTATGGAACCACCGTCGCGTTAGTTCTGGTGGGAGAGTAGTGTAGTGCTATTAGTTTCTAACCACACGATCTTTGAAGCTCAACGTATAATTACTGAGAAGATTTATATTCAATGTCTAAAACTAAGGAGAAGTTTAAAAATGGTGAACGGGGGACAGTAATGGAAATGCCATGACTCAACCATCTAAACATAGTCACTCTGTGTAGTCTCGTGGTTTCACATCAAATATATTGCTCTCTTTACGGCCCAAATGTGTTCTTCAGGAGAATTTAGTGTCAGATTGCTGATCATCACTATATAATAGGTTAGTATAGACAATGATATGAACTACATGTTAGACTTTATGTATTAATTGGTCACATCATGACAAATCTGCAATTTCGGTGTTGGCTCCATTAATATAAAAGCAAAGATGAATTCACTTATATCATACTAGACCATAATTCAACAGACATTCAAGTACTTTTTAAAGCACGAAATCCTTTTATTAACCTGTCTTTGTGTAAATATTGACGATCTTATAGCCGAACATAGCAGGCTACTCCGCGGATATATTTTACAACCCTTTCGAGTTGTCTTGCCTTCTATCACTACTGCTTGGGCATCTTGACAATTTATTCCAGTCTGGAACACACTTAGTTGACGTGACAACGTTGAATATATCTCAACGCCAGTGCCTAAATATAAACGAATTGTAACCACCTCCTTTAGCTCAGGTTGGAATATTTATGGATGAAGCCAATGGAACTGTCCTGAAATTAATCGCTTGTCAGACAGTACTCAACACTCTTATAGAAAGATCGCTTGTGGATGACAGACATTTATCCATCAAGGAAAAGGTCAAATATATATTGTTGAATAATTAAAGGAACAGTTCGTGTTGTTTACGTCAACTTAGATAAGACCTACGACAATTTTTACTCGGTGTGTTACTACTGCTGCTGCTGAAAACACTCAGATTCTGAATGCCTATTCAGATGTGTGAAAAACTTTCCAGTTGGTCAGAGAATAAAAATAAAGACTTATGTAAATGCTTTCTCTTGAAAATCAACATTTAACAAAGTATGTTGGGTTAAACACGTGCTATATATTATCAAGTCTGTAATGTTACTTAATGCTAATGACATCAAAATGTTTTGAAATCAAGACATAGGAAATGAACTATATAAATTTTTTATTTTTTTGACTTAAAGGTGAAAATATGAGCATTGAAGTCGGTCCCCTATTGTTCCTCAGATAAATATTAGGAGCTCGCTGAATTTGCGAACGTGAAGATTAGTCCTAACGTGATTTGCATTCCTCAAACTCCTGCTGTTCTCTTACGCAACAAAGGTATCATTTTTCACCCAAATAATCTATCTGCAGCTCAACCTCTGACAGATTACTTTAATAGTTTACCTTGGTTTCGCTTCGGTTTACTCTCCGGACTTCGATTTTTCCACTTTGAGGCCAGTTTTAAAATATTCCAACCTTTTTGCCACCTGTCTTATCAGCTTTCCTCGTTTCGATTTTTTCGTCTTTTGTTTTACAGTCGTAAACTTTTTCTAGAATCTGTCTAACAACTCAAATTTCAATATAATCGTGACGAACTAATGTAAGCGCCCTGGATGCTATTTTTCTGTCACCTGTGCACGCAGTGTGACAAATGCAAAGGTTGGTCTCATGAAGCGTAGTAACTGCTTACAACATACTTAGTAATTCAAATAGCAGGTAGGTATGTGTCGATTGCAACACGATCACTGACGACTGCTGAGCAATATCATCATTCATTAAACAGGCCTCGGAAAAAAATTGTCAGAAACCCTGAGAAAAAACAGTCCTGAAACAGGTAAACAGACGAAGTAAATAAGAGGACCTTTGACAACATGAGTATCAACGGAACAAGCATCGACACTAATGAGTTATACCGAAACTCAGCCCTACCATAACATCAACGGTGTTAGACTGTTTCGGAAGATTTGTGTCCTTCGGCACGAGCACTCTAAATGCAGCTGTGGTCCTCGAAAGTTCTGTAGGCAAACAGACTTCCATCAACAAGGTTAGAAGGGATCGAGTGTCTCTGTCGAAAAAAAAACTGAACATCCCAGTTCATGTAGGAAAAAGATCTAGTGATTTTGCTGTGCAATCTACCACTATGATGTTCCAACTAGTCAGCAAGGAGCGCAGGAATTCGAAATGCAGTCCGACTGCCAAATAAAAAGAACGTCAACGTACCCGAAAATCTGGGAAAATGATCATGTTTTGAGGTGATTCTCTCATAACCATGAACCTTAAAGACAGCTCTGATCTTCCTCTCAATCTGCAAAACGAAAAAGATAGGATGATCTGATACAAGTCAAACAGTTAACTCAAACTTCTCGAAATCGAGCTAGTGGCGGTTACATGGCTTAGAGTTAGAGGACGTTCTGATGGTCGGTCAGTTGCTGAAATCAGAAGGGGATTTAAGAATACTGCCTGACATACCATATTTTGAGGGCGGTCCCATCGGGAACATCCCTAAGTAACTTCGAAAGACGTTCTTTTGTTGTAGAAATATCGCTGTGCAAGGTGTTACAGGAAACACGGATCATGACTAATAAGACTACGACTTCCTAGCATGGAAGTTTATAAAGCAGTCCCTAAAGCCTAAGAACATAATGATTCAACAAGTGGTACAATTAGCCAAGAAGGATGGGGATCCTAGACCCTTGCTAATGAAGATAGTCCTTTTATCTAAAACGTGGGCATCCTCGCAAATTACGAGCTAGGAGCTGGCAATATCCGGTCTTGATGAGTCTGTATGGTGCACAGTGAAATTGGCTGACACTTCGAGACGTCTTGTTGGAGTAACCTACAGGGAACCCACCGCTGCATCCATCTTCCCAGTGTCAACTTCTCTGAACACTCGGACATTAGAGGTGACAAGTCTAGTGAGGATCGGTTCTTTAACCTCAATGAATATTTGAGATCATTCGGAAATGTGTACACAATAACTCACTTGAGAAACAGTCGGAAGCCGTCACGCTTAGACTGAATGTTTACGAACGAAGAGTTCCTAATTAACAACCTCTCAATCCCGCCTCACTCATGGAAAGACGTGATCATGTCGTCATAGCCTTTAATTTTATCGTTAAGATCAAGTTAAAACATCTTACTAAAAACATGCACTGAAATTTCAAATGTTACAATGTGTCAGCTTTACAGAAAAACCTACAGAAGGTCTGTTGAGAAGTCTACCCTTAGTTTGATGTGGACGCTCACTAGACATTTTTACTGAACACGATCTTACGTGATAAAAACCAATCTGTTTCACAAACGGCCCTCGAAGGTTACAATAAACGTATGGTTATAAGGAGGAGTGGTACTTTCCGAATGCTGAAACTTAGGAGGTACTACTGTAAGGAACACAAACAAACCAGTGAACGCGACTCATAAAAGTAATTCAAGCAGGCAAGAAATCAATTCACGAAGACGCTTAGTTTCAGTTTCAGTTTGGGAAGGACAGAAGGCCTGATGGCCTGTGTTAGTCCTGGCAATGGTGGTCCCTCAATTGATCCGACTTTCTTTTGAAAGAATTGACGGACGGAGCCTCAACCACGTGCTGAGGTAATGAGTTCCACTCGTTGATGACTCGATGGGAAAGTCGATAGTCAGCTGACAAGTAGTTTGTTCTTGGCTTGTGAACGTTTTTGTAGTGTCCTCGTAAATTCTCTGTTTTGGAAGACAAGAAAAATGAGGGCATATCAGGTGCAAATTTGGCACTAAGCAAATTGGAAACTGTAGTCAAGTCGCCTCTAGATCTGAGATATGACAACGGGAAAAGGTTCGGCTTGGCCAGTCGAGCTTCATACGGAAGCTTCGCTATTCCGGGAATCAGCTTAGTTGCCGTTCTCTGAACCTTTTCCAGAAGCTCACTGTCTTTTTTTAAGCAGGTGCTAGCCGTTTGTATGCAGTACTCAAGTTTAGGACGTACGGACACTGTATACAAAGTCAAAAACATTTTAGCGTCAACATGACTAAAAGCTCTACGTATTGACCATAAGGTTCTAAAACCTTTGGCGGCTTTTGCATGGCAGTGTGCAGTAGCCTTTAAGTCTTGACTTACGATGACTCCTAAGTCATTATGTGTATGGACACTAGGTAGCTCAGTGTCATTCATCGTGTATGTATCTGTACCTTGATGACTGATCACGCTATCCAGTGTATGTATGGGGGGATCTGTATACGCTGACGGGAAGGGCGCTTTTATGGTATATACGTTGCTAAAGTAGTTCGAGAACACTTGAGCCTTACCAAAGTCGTCCTCCACTGGTGTCGCGGCAGTACTGTCTCCCCATAGGGCAGGAATATTTCCTCTTCTCTTTGTCCTTTGGTTTATGTTATGACCTTGAATCGCTTTTACTTCGTTGATACTTTGTGATGACTTGACCTTGATCTTTCTAGTCTAGAATATGACCTTGACTCGAAAGGCTGAGTGGCTTAACCTTGAGTCTAGTACGCGCGAGTTCGAGATGGGGTAGGGAGAAAACTATCCCAGAACCTGATTGGTTGGCAAGCACGCAAGTGAGAGAAGACAAGACAGTTGGAACAATCTGAATTCTCTGAATTCGGATTAGTGCAAAAATGTACATGAATAAATAAGTGAATATCCTGACCACAACGTACCATAATTAGGAAAAATACAATTACGCCCGAAACTGGGAATTAGGGTAGAAAATAAGATGCAAAATATTATGTTTAAATTACAATATTTTCGGAACAAAAAAGGGTATGACAGTGAATGTTACATAGGACGAAAGCTCATGTTATGTAGAATAAAATAGGGACAAAAATAAATATAAGTGTTTCACAAGGTTTGAATGAAATGAAATAAAGTCCCAAAAAGATAGCTTTCGTAGTTGTCTGGGCTTCTTATTTCCCCGTTCACAACAGTTTATATAAAAATACAAGCGTTTAGGACATTCTATGGATTCCTTAACAATCTTTTCTTCGTATAGCTTTCTAGACTTACAGAGGGTCGAGGCACAGGTATTCCGGACTTTTCTATACTGGGATTTAGTTTCATCAGTCCCTAGTAACCTAAATCTATCCCACATTCTTCTTCTCTTACAGAGAAGGATGCGGACCTCCCTACTGAACCATGGTGGTGAGTTTCTCGGCCCCCTTGGTATAGTCCAAGGGATGTGGGGTGTGGTAACTTTTAAGTATGAATTTCGAAATGCGTCCCAGGCCGTTTCAACTGGGGACTCTGGGTCTATTTTCCAATCTACTAACGATGCTGAGTGCATTACATCTGGTTTATTTGCTTTCCAGATGTTAGGTCTGGATTGGGCTGACGCGTGCTCGTGACTGACAGTTATATGGAAGTCGAAAATTAAAACTGCGTGATCACTTTTACCTAGGGGTGGCATATAATGGAGGTTCGCAATGTCATCCTCATAGTGAGTCAGTATAAGGTCTAGTAAGGATGATTCAGTGTCCGGGTCGTACCTAGTCGCTTCTTTCACATGTTGCACTAGGGCACATGTGATAACCACATCAACTAGTTCCTGCTCGAAGGAATTTTCTGACGATTCAGTTCGCAGATTTTCCCAGTCTACCATAGGTGCATTAAAGTCCCCTAGGATTAGACATCGACCACTTTGTGACCAAGTATTGAGACTGCTTAGCAGGACATCATTTACCTCACAGCTTGGACTGCGATAGACCAAACCAATCAGCAGCCCTTGTCCCTTGCATTTCAAGCGGAGACTAACTAATTCACATGTCCCACTCTCATGGGATACATTGTCGATAGTGGCAAATGTAATAGCATTCCTAGTGAATAGAGCTAATCCCCCTCCTTTACGCTTTTGTTTTCTGTTGACCCTTACTAACGTAAAACCCTCGAAATCAAGTTCCATACTATCTATAGCCTGTGTCAGCCAGGTTTCTGTTACTGCGATTATATCTGGCTTTATAGAGTCAATCTGTACACCTAGTTCCGATCGCTTATTAAGTAAGCTTCGGGCATCAGTGTAGCAGATCTGAAGCCAATTTAAGTGGCTTCGTGGTTCACCCAGAGTGGCTTCGGCATCATCCTCCGTCGAAGCCTTACAGCCCGAAAATTTACAATTTTTAGGTCCTTTTGCCAGCGTCTAACCTAAGTTGTAGTTCTTTTTCGGCTTCCCGTCTTTTTACTCGGTCTGCCAACGGTAAGTCCTTTCGGGTAAAGACTCCTGAACCCTTTAATTTGTGTCCATTCTGTAAAATTAAGTTCGTTCGAAGAGTTGAATACTACTTTAAGCAGTCGGGAATCATTTGATTTCAAGTCCGCTAGACTCCCTAGTCTGTACACCTTTAGCAAGGTGAGCCCGGCGATATTTTGAGGCAGCTGCTTAATCAGCACAATATCATACTCAAAACGAGCTTTAGGTTCAGAGCTCTCGCTCTCCTTGATTCTATGAAAAATAGCTGATCTGTCGCTATGATCAGCTTTTAATTTTACGACTACTTTCGCGGAGGTAGGATTACCTTCTATATCGCTACTGTTTTTCTTCCTTACAACCTGTACCCATTCGTCAACGGTGCTGGGAGAAGCAACAACAGTTGCGTCAAACCTAGTGTTGGATGCTGAGGGGTTGTCGACGACCTGAGAGGTAAGGTTATGTTTACCGCTTGAAACCGATTGAGCCTTGCGATTGCGGCTTTTAGGCGTTTCCTGTTGGATCCCATCTGGGAGACGGGGAACAGAATCTACTGTCCTTGAGCTTTTGTTTAAGGCAGGCCCCTTTGGAGACTGCTTTTCCTTCTTTGACCAGCTTGAGTCATCTACTACTGAACTAACGTTAGTTTGCTTCATGTCGATTTGTGTGTCGACAGATCTAGTGCTGTTTAACGTGTTACGACTACGCTTGCTAAAACACTTCTTTGCAGCATCAACCAGTGTGATAGCCTCAGGTGGCAGACTGTTTGCATCCGAACAGCACTGTTGACAAAACAATACGCAACCCTTCTTACTGAACCGTTTAAAAGCCGCAGGCATTAAGTTCGTACAAACTTCGTGGTACCAGCGTTTGCGTTCGTCGCACTGCATGCCGCTTTCAATGGGATAACGACAACCCGAATGTTGACAACTGCTTTTTTACACTGTCCGGTCATTTAAAAGGAGTCCTTTTCAAAGAGGAACAAGGCGCGATGATGCTCAGAAACAAAAAAATAATCAATGACCAAAGAGTGAAGAACTGTAGATTGTTAGGACCAAAAGTACTAACAGATACAGTTGAAAATGAGGTATTCAAGAGTACCAACGACAAAACTAATTGAGAGAACGGTAAAAACGGTACTTTAATCGAATACTTTAACTGAAATGAATTCAATTATAGTGAAAACAGTGGTCTTGATACGTAATAGACGATCAAAACAATGAAATTTACTCAACGAGGAAAAATATCACTGTCATTTTTTAATAGCGCGCGTAGGAGAGACTTCAGTTTTATGTCAAGCTCATCAATAAATTGGTCTTTAATCCGGAGACCTTATTTCGTCTTGCAGCCAACCTCCTTTGGCATGCCAAAACCAGAGTTTCCCAACTGCTAGATCCTAATGGTCCAGCCAACAACTATTGTGACGCTGCTGAGCTCCCGGAAGAACAGTGTTTTGAAACATTCCAACCATTCTATACTTACCATATCGACGAGAGTTTCACCTTAAACTCGACAGAACACTCAGAAGTGAACCTGGGCGATAACTTGGCGCATCGAAAACCGAAGCACATGGACAGGGTAGCTCCTCCTGACCCAGATATGGTCCATTCCACTGTACCAAGGGAACAGGCTTCAATCTTGGCAACACCGTTTAACAAGATGCTCTCACATTCGTTAAGTTGTAGAACTATGGTCTGCTCCGTTGTTGGTATTAGTGTAATAATAGACCTATTCCTAAAAGCGTATATTTGTCATCATGTGACTACCTAATCTGCACGATCGTATATAGAAGTCACATTATTGTCTACACTGACTCATCGTATCGTAACAACTAACAATATGATACTTTGTGTTTCTTAAGAACACATTTAAGCCAAAGATAGGATAATATATTTAATGTGAATAAAGACTAATATTTCTACTTAGTTGATAGAACCTGTAAGGCCTTAGAGTGCCGCTGTTCTTGATTTGTAGGTCACGTTACTTCGTGAAGATGAATGTTAGGAATGCTAGAGTAGGCTGTAATTTCAATTTATATTTATCCCATAGCCAACCGACTTGCTAAACATGAGAGATTGCAATTTAGATTGCTTGCCGGAAAACTATCAAATGAAGTACTATTTTTATCATGGTTTATCTTGGCCACAATTATCATATGTAGCAGAAACAGATAGTGGAGAGATTGTGGGCTATGTCTTGGCAAAAATGTAAGAAGTCGTTGTACATTAACTTTGGATAGGGAAGAAGATCCAGAAGACGTCCCTTATGGACATATTACTTCTTTGGCAGTCAAACGACCATATCGGCGATTAGGGATTGCTCAGACGCTGATGAATCTGGCATCAAGAGCTATGGTAGAAAATTTTCACGCTAGATATGTCTCTCTTCACGTTCGGAAGAGTAACAGGGCTGCACTTACTCTCTACAAAAAAACTCTACACTTTGTGTAAATCCTACTTTGTTTCTGACCAGTCTTTCCAGAGTATCAGATATAGAACCTAAATATTACGCTGATGGTGAGGATGCCTACGCTATGAAAAGGGACCTTAAGACATTATGGGACAAGGTAAATAGTTTTTCTCTTAACATCCTTTTTAGTATGGGCCTTCAGATGTTCCTTTCAAAGAATCGAAAAGCAAAAATACTCAATAAATATATCTCAATACTTCCCTCTAATTGCTAGTTCTTATCATCTTTTGGCTTATGCGGTTTCATTCAAGCGATTAGTCAGTGGTCGACAAAACTGCTGTTCATAAAAATATATAAGAACATATGATTTTTTCAACAACCTCAAACATGGAAATTTGATGACATTGTTTAATTATAGATTATTGTAGTTGTAAGGCCATAAATGTATTGCATGGCTTTAATAGTTTGAGTTTATTTAGTATATCGCCAACTTGGATAACTCTACTTGTTTGAGCTATCTTAAATTTTTTCTAGCATAATAAACTAACACAGTATCTATAACGGCGCGACTATAATTTATGGACAAACCAGTCAGATTTAGGATGACAGGTCTCGGATTTCGGTGCGAAATCCATTCATCCAATTGTCTAAATAGCGTCCTGTCATTTTAGCTGATATCAAATGTAAATCATAATTCTTTTCATACTGCTTTATAACCATCATTTGGCCCCAGTAAGTAAGTAGACATTCCCAAAGTCACTTGAGGGTTGTTCAATGTCGTCCATAAATTATAGCTTCACTTCTATAACTACTTAAGTGTTCTCAATTTAGATAGTAGTTGGAGGTTTAAGCGAGATTTTGTAGTGGTTCTACAAGTTTTAAATTGTAGTGTGACTCGACCACTAAAGTGGGTATGTGTTAAAAATAAAATGATATAATCGTTTCTTAGCCTATTCACTTCTTTGATGATTTAGGACCGAATTTTGACGGACAAAATCAGGAGCTTCATGTATCACTTGTTGTATCTGAGTTATTATGTACCTAGGGTTCTTGTTAATTTTAACGTGACATTGCGGATGTTAGTTTGTTGGTTTCTCTTGGTGCATATGTGGAGCCTTAAGTATTGAGACCTATCCCTTATCGTTTAAATTTTCGTGTAGTGTAGTACTTATTCTGTCCAGTAAATACCGAAACTGATGTCTAAGTCTTTGGATTTATCAATCCTATCTGTTTTGGAAATACTGCTCGTTTGTGACAATATGTTAATCTTCATTGTTCAAAACATCCGTATGTCATAAAAGTCGGGCTCTTTAATCACCTCATCCTCCCTCCATTTCCTATTGTTCCCGCACCGTCCCAGTGCCACAGCTGCGTAACTGTCTGGAACAAAATCAACTCTCGGGAGGCTACGTCTGGTGACTAATCAGACTAATATAACCTCGAGACCTAGTTATGAACTGAAAATGAGTGGTGAATGTCCAGGCTGGTTGTTGGGATACAATCGTCACATATCAGCACTTCTACTACATTGTTTTAACCTCTTACGTTTTTCATCCTGGAATTCTAATCTGGTATGCCCAGTTTAGCCGACAGAAATTCTTGCCAAGCTCTTTTTTTATTATGCCCATGTCATCAGCATTACAAAATCTTTGAATGATAGTTGGATACATGCAGCCCAGTAAGATAAGACTTATCCGAGATAGTGGCCGTGTAAGTTCCTATTTCGAATGAGTGTTTCAATATTACTTTACCCTAAAGTATTTTGAAAATCCCGAATATCAAGTTGCCTCGTAGATTGTGGTTGTTTCACATTAGTGACTATTCTCAATTTTTGCATACCTAGTATTTCATGCACAAGTATCGAACTACTTGTTAGTAGTTTAAGGTTGTTTGATAGAGTTTTCGGGCTAACATCAGTAATCGAATTTCTTCCATAAAGCCTATCAATAGGTTTTCTCTCGTGTATTTTGAGACCACCGAGTGAGTAATGCCGAGGGTAAGCATAGCGTACTAGGTAAATATGACAATGGGCTGATGAGGTAGTGAATCGTCATCAGCTGAGGTAGTTGAGACATTTTACGTATCTTTAACCACCGCTCACCTCGACAAATGATGTCCAGTGTAGGAGTAGGTTGGAAGGAAGTTAAAAGTGACCAAGTCAAGATATGACACCAGTCCATAAAGTCATTGACAACTGGACTGAGCCATGTAGATAGGTACAGACTATCTGGTGTGTGTGATCATTGTAAACAACGGTTGGAGACATTGAGTGGCATTGTCCAGAGTTCTTTACTGTGACCCGGATGTATTCGCTCCCTACATCCCCCTGAGCTTTGAAATTATCCCTTTTCTCCACTTACATTGTTTATGCCTTGTTTCTTCTGCAACAATTGATACTATCACTAACTTTGCTACTCTTATTTATTTATTTGGACACATTAATATTGGTACAAAGGGGCATCATATATATATATATGCGCCACACAATAATAATGAGAATGGGAAGAGATAAAGAATTTAGGGTGCGTATAAGAAGAAAGAATTACAACAATGAACAGAAATTAGTGTATGATAGTGAGATAACAATAGTGGGAGGGACAGTTCAATTAGCAAAAGTACAGCCCCAAAGGACTCTTCCACTGAAAAAGGTTACGTCTTTTTTATGAAGAAAGTAAAAGAAGATAACAGCAGCATCGCCATTGGCTTTATTTCGAGCCATATCTGGTAACGTCTCTAGCGGCTGTGTTACATCATCCCTAGGACAGCAACCAGGTAGTCGTGAAGGGTCAACAGATGCCAGTCCTGTGCAGCTTTCTTTCATACCACGACACCATGTCATACACTGACCACCTCTCCGCTTTTTCCAACCTGTCCCAGCGTCGGCAAATAATGCGCAACGTGGAATTCTCTGCGACGACGTTCGTAGAACATGTCCAAGCTACCGAAGTCGGTGTTTCAAGATGGTGACACTGTAGTGTCACTCATTATTTTAAGCCCATATACCTTATTCTAGCTTTCGGACATTCCATTCTATTCATTCTACTTGAGTCATATTTTGACCTTGTCAATTGTTCGCTTATCAGTCTTGACTGTTTTTATATGAGCGTATATGTGTGTGCCTTTCTTATCCTAATAATCACATGTCTGTAGTTTATTTTGTCTGCCTGTAAATATTGAGTAACGCTTGACTAAAATGGAGTTGGCTTCCCAGCCATCTTCCCTACGTGTCATTTCGCTCTGCTCTGTTTCATTCGCTTCATATACGAAATATATGTATTCACAAGTCAATTCTCGTTATTCGACTTATTTAATTTCGTTATTGACTAACGTGATTTATGTCGACGATTATATACGAGAATATGCGATGACAATCATTCGTACGATCTAAATGGAGTCAGATCCACGGGCCACAACATCAATTGAATTATCTTCTATGTGCCCGAGCGCACTATGCTGAACCTCCGCATTACTAGCATGGCGTTGCCACTGAATGTCAGCAATCCTTTGGAGACAGTGCTAATCCAACACAGAGTCGTCTAACATCCTGAACTCGAAAAGGCCAGGTTTCACGAGCATAGGGCAAAACTACTCTCACCGACGCATTGTAGATCCGACCTTTTACAGCCAGACTAACATCACGAAAGCGCCAAAGATGGCCCAGATTGGCATAAGCCGCTCTGGCTTTCACTAAACGTTAATTGATCTCACGCCACCACCAGCAATTATGCAGCTACACGAACTTCTCGACTACTTCTATCTGCTCACCATACAGTGTGAGTACAGGATTAGGATCCTACCAGTCTTGTAGAAGTACTTTGCACTTCGAAGGTGCAAAGCACATACCATACTTACGGACACTGATTGCCAACTGATTAAGTGCGGATTGCTTGACTTGGTTATTATCGTACAGTAAGACAATATCATCCGCATACTCAAAGTCGAGAAGTGCTTATAAGTGGGACGTTTCGCGAAGACGCATGCGACTGTACTCGCCATTTTCATGGCGTCGGCAATTGCAACCAATGCTGATCTATACTTTCCTGTGGAATGTTAGCTAACCTAGCTTGGTTTGATATTTAGTTGCAACCAATTTACTGACATCAATTCGTTTAAGACGATGAATTTGTTGGCCACTGAAAAGTAAGGTAAGATTAACGCAAACAAGTGGATGATCAGAGTCCAAATAGGTACTCCAAAAGGACCGGCAGTCTTGTACACAACCACGCCAGCGGTAGCTGATCACGATGTGACCAATCTGAGTCTAGGCTTGAGATGCAGAGGGAGGACGCCAGGTGGCACATCGACGATGACTGTACCAGTAGTTAGCGCTAGTCAGAAATATGTTGTGGTCTGCACACAGTTGCAATAGACAGTCCCCGTTATCTAACCTGCGACCAACACGTCCCAATTGGCCACCTAAACGGCTCTTCTATGCCTAGACGCCCGAAGTGAGCATTGAAGTCTCTGGCTAGTACTACAATATCTGTCGAATGCACTTTCTATAGAAGAACTGTTAGCTGGTGGTAAAACTCATCCTTGATCGCATTCGGGTTGCAATCTGTCGGAACATAGGCGACGTCAAAAAAACATAGTTCCTCACACCGATTTCTTCTTTGATGAAACCTTCTACTCTAACAGCACATAACCGACTGTTAATGGGGATCCAATCAATTACTGCTGCCTCAGCTCTAGCGTTTGATGGGACAGCAAGACCAGACGAAGATGCCACAGGGTCCCTGGATAAACGGACGTAAAGCAAGCCTTATGGAGTGACAGATGGAGAGCGAAGTTGTAGTACTTCACCAGTCTTGAATACGGGTCTCAGCTAGACAACAAACATCGGTATTAAGACTTTCTAAAGACATAGCCAGCCCTATCTGTTGTTCGGTCTGCATAAGTGTGCGAACGTTGAAGGAAGGCAGTTTGAATGGTGCACGTGATTTCAGAAAAACTTTCAGTGTTCGTATTCGGCGGTAGCATTCAATTTTTGACCAGTCAGCGACTCGAGATCGTTTAGATAGAACAGGTTTTCTACCATAGGCGAGCTGCTGTATGAGTTGAAAAATAAAATATGGATAATGAAAATAAGAAGTATATAAGTACGTAGTATGAAAGAAATACAAGCTAATGTTGTCAAATGATTATGAGTGGGATCTGTCTGAATGCGAATTGAAGCGAGAATAATTTTTCCAGCAGTCATCATTTGGTTTGTGTGAGGGCTGTGATACTGCCCGGGTGCCCTG